TATCTGTGGCTTATTGGGCAATAGGAAAGATGCAGCTGTGGATACAGCCTGGCCACTGCTGTGTGCTGCGACCAGATTCAGAGAACAAGGATTGAGAGCCTAGCATAAGCACTTTCAGTAACTAACTGGAACATCCCATCCATAGCTGAGTACTCACTTCCTGTGATGAGAACAAGGAAGCAACAGGGCACAAAGAACAAAGAAAGAGCTGCATGGAAGGAAACTGAGAACTAGTTGAATTATTGCAATCTTCACGGGTATGACCCATTACCAACAGGAAGCACTGCTGTCTGACTCTATGGGTAAATGTTGTTTGTTTGGTTGGTTTGGTTTGGTTTAATTTTTGTTTTATTTGAAACTACTTCAGATCAACCATTTTCTTATTGGTACTGGTCTTAAATCAATTGTTTTGCATTTTTGTCTTATGTAGAATTTTTTATGTTTTTTATATGTGTTTACTGCATTTTATGTGTTTTTTTTTGTAGGATATGTATATGTGCACAACTTGTTGACCTGTGCTGCAAAAGTCAGAAGAGGGCGTTGGATCCCTTGGAACCTGGGTTAAGATTGTTGTGAGCCACAGTATGGATTCTGGGAACTGAAACCAGGTTTTGTCCAAGAGCAACAAGTGCTCTGGACTGCTGAGTCATCTCTCCAATCCAATTTCTTATGTTTTATGTTAATATTTTATTTCTGAGAACTGTCTTGATATATCTATATTAAAAGTTAATTTAAGATAATTAAGATAATAAGTAAAGAAATAGCAGCAGGATTATGGTTTTGGTAAGTTTTTGGCTCATAGAACACAGCAGTACCTGCAGAAATATCCTGGCTGCTTGGGAACATGAAAATATTTTAAACTATGCTATGCTATGCCAAATTAATGCAGGATCTAGACTTATTCTATAATAAATATTGACACATACTTAGCATCAATTTATCTAAGAATTTACTGACGATTATTTCTTTTGGGGGAATTTAGCCTAATAGCAGAGTCTTTGGATTTTGCTTTTAACTAGAAAGGTAATGTGAATATTCAACTGAAAGGCAGTGTAATCTTCAAAGCCAGCCTTCAGTGATTTAGTTTCACAAGTTAAGCCTCATATTTGAAAGATTCAGCAATATTTCAAAAGAATGGCACTACATGCAACTATGTGTTCAAAGATATGAGCCTTAGGGGAGGTTACAGCATCAATCCAGAGTAATAAGTGATTTTTAGGTCATATGTTATATATACACATAAGTATATGTATAATTTCTATACTCTCTATATGCACACTATATATATATATATATATATATATATATATATATATATATATATAGAGAGAGAGAGAGAGAGAGAGAGAGAGAGAAGAGAGAGAGAGAGATGCATTACATCTATATAAATGTACACATGCATATAAATGTATATATGTGCCTTTTGAACGGGACAGCAAAAGGACAAGATGTAGCTACTAGTGTCTCCTGGTTTCTATGGAGGATTTAAAATAGATACAAGATTAGGATTCTAGTTGTTGCACCCAGAGACTGAGTTACCATTGTTTCTGATCTAAGTTTGTGTGGTGTTTTCCTTCCTATAGTAGTTCTACTGGGTTCCAGAGGGAAAGGTACGGTGGCAAAGAATGGCTTTGCCAAATGTGCACCACAAAGGCCATGGGGGGTTTTGAAGCATGGGGCTGGCCTGGTAGTGACCTGCTAGTGGGAATTTAGAGAGCTGGGTGAAAGATTTTGGAGCTCCGAGTCAGAGAGTCTCCATGAGATAAGAACAGGCTGGCCACTGCCACCAGTGCATAGCCCACTAGACTGCTGGGGCAGAGAGAAGCTGGGCATAGTGTGGGATGTTGCTGTTCTTTTTAATATTTTCTACAATAGGTGGCAGACCAACGTGTTGAGCAATAATCTCCTAAAAATTCAAGATTATTAGCCTGAGAGAGTTTTACTTTTTAAGTGAGTAGCTGGGGAAGCACAGAGATGAGTCACATGGACTGTAGGTTGAAGAGCAGGAACTTTGAAACAAGAAAGATACTCTGAAGTCCCCTGCTGTGGAAAGAGTCAAGACAACTGCTCTGAGTCAGGAGGAGGAGGGGAGTTGCATACTTCTTAGGACAGAGATGGATTGAACTGTGAATTTATAAAATTGGGATTATTTGCTTTTAGGAAAGATTTATATACAAATTTTGTCCGAAATATGTGGGGATTTTTGCCTGGTTCAGAACTAGGATATGAAAAATTAGTCACTGACTCCAAGGAGAGAGGATAACTACTTGCTATGACAGCTATTAATTAATAAATATCTGTAGCTCTAGATAACAGGTATTAATAAAATTAATTTCTGTGGCTCCAGGCAGAGAGTCGAACAGTAAGATGGTATGAAGATAGTTTGCTTTAATACGTCCTACAGGATACTCAAATTCTGTCTAACATGGGCTCCACAGAAATGCTGGTTTTAAATCCTGCTTTGACTAGCTGCCTGCTTATAAGCAGGTATAGATAGAAGTGGAAATCAATTGTCTTAAAGATGGTATAGAGACATATTGCTTTAATACACCTTACAGGATACTCAAATTCTGTCTAAAGTAGGCTCTATGGGAATCTTGGGTTTTTATCCTGCTAGGCAAAATAGAAAAGGCTTAAGAATAGGCACATACAGTATTTTAGTTTACTTCATTTGTTTTTGATTGTTTTAATTTTCAAAATGGGTGTAATCTTGAGTTTTGTTGCTATATTATTCTTCTGGGAGAGAAGTCAGTATAAAGGCTTTTCTAATTACTGGCTCAAGGATATGCTGATTTGGGAGAAAGTGTTTTGTCTTTGCATTTTAAGAAAAGGTGATTAGTATCTATACACCTTCCAGAGTAATATAGGTCAGAGTTGATAGTGGGAGATCCTCAGAGAACTGGATTCCAGAGAGTCAAACCAAAAAAGTTATCTTGATGATATTATAGTTTTATTTTGAGATTTGTATATTACAGAATATACAGCCTTTCGGAGTCTCATTGTCAGACATGCTGAACTGACCTGCTTGAACTCCTGATGTCTTGGATTTTCAGCTAGATCCAGTCAGGACCCAGACATTAGAATCTAAATCAATCTTTGGTGTGGCTTTCTTAAGGGCAACTAACTCCCCCATTTTCCTTCCCCTTCCTCCCCCATTCAAAAATATCTCAATGCCCATATTCAACTTGAAGAAGTTATGAAGAGTAGATGCCCCAGTTCCCTGGGCTTTGGGGATGGAGGAGGTTTTTCTAAGGTTATCTTTCTAGGAAATTTAGAAGTGGCCATAATTGGAACAGGGAGATAATGGCTAGAATTGATTATATAGCCATAATCTCATTTGGTAGAAATCTTTATAATTGTTACTAAGTTGAAATCATAATTTTTTATTTTGATACAGAATTTATTTTGGTAAAGAGTCAAGGTTTCATTGGTATAGATTTCTTCTACTGATACAAAATTTTATAAGTGCAAGGCTTGGACCCAATCCTTCTATAAATGCCATTATAAACTGATCTGAGATGATTACACCTGTGAGTTAAGGGCCAAATAGCAAATTCATGGCTCTGAGTTTATTGTTAGGGTGTTTTCAAGATATTTAATTAGAATAGCTGAGAATAGTTAATGGAAAACAGTCCAGATTACTATACATAGATAGTTGGTTTTCAAAAACGTCAGAAATCCAGAGTGTGACATTTAATGTTATTTATTCACTTGTTGTTGAGACAAATCTGCTCCTAACAGCTTCCCATTTGTGGATTCAAAGAAGCAGCTGAGCATCTATACTTCTAGGTGAGGCTGTACATTGTGGCTAAGTTGCCACTAGGCAGATATTGCCAATCTCTTCTGCAGACCTGTACGTTCTTGAAAGGACACAATTTACAGATTAGGACAGCATAGTTCTGCCGAGACAGAATAGGCTAGTACTTAATGATTCCTGTTTTCAAAAGTCTGTCAGATGATCCTGGGCCAGAAGGCTGAAGACAGATGCTCCAACTTCCTGACTTACTGGGGCTGTATAAGTAGGCAGCTGTCTCTACAATTTGTCTCAGTTCTGGAAGCTGTGTTAGGCTTCCTATATCTTCAAATACTTGTTAATTTTCAGATTTCCGACAGGGTTGAAAGATTACTTATAGTCTCATAGTCAACCCAGGCTATTTAACATTGAGAGAACAGATTTGAGAGGATGATTTTCAGATAGCATACATTCTAAAGCCTGGTGTAGAATTATAAGTCTTTTAAATTAGGATAGATGACAGTGTTCTATTTTATTGACAAAAATGATGAACTGGGTATTAGGTCTATCTTGTACTTTATAAATTACAAAATGGTAATAGTTGTGCTCAATTTATATCTGAGATAAAAGAGTCTTTTAAGTGGTCAGAAAGGGTCAAGTTTTGTGGATGGCTCTGTGCTGTCTAAATTTTGATGTTAATTTTTGCTTTCCTCAGAGGGGCTGTAGACAAGGAGTGAGTCACATACTCAGGTGACTTCTTATGAAGCAATCCCCTAATGAATAAAGAAGCCAATCACTGGGAAAGTAGGAGAGACTTCTGGATTGGATAGGGGAAGAGAGAAGGAAGAGAAGAGAGAGAGAGAGAGAGAGAGAGAGAGAGAGAGACAGAGACAGAGACAGAGACAGAGACAGAGAGACAGAGAGAGAGAGACAGAGAGAGAGTCCTTTTGGATGGGGACAACAAAAGGATAAGATATAACTACTAGTGTCTCCTGGTTTCTATGGCAGGTCCACCAGGATTCACTAAGGGAAGATTTAGATTTAAAACAGATACAAGATTAGGATTCTAGTTGTTTTGCCCAGAGATTGAGTTACCATAGTTTCTGAATCAAAAACAAAACAAAAAACAATGTATGTATGAGTGTTTGTGTATTTTAAGGATCAGGTATTATGATTTCAGTCAATCCTCTTTATTATAATTTTTTACCATATAAATTAAAGTATATACTATATTATTATACGATGAATATGCACATAGAGATTGAAATTAGTTGCAATCATTAGTAATTTAATATACATGTTGTTTTACACACTTTATGTGTTTGTACATGTTCAAAAGCAGTTAAATCTATTTATTTAGCAAAAGCCCCCAGGAAATATGAACTCCGGTCTTCACTCTTTACAAAGAGAACTCACTTCGCTAACAGTCTGTTTGTTTCAGTTTGCTTTCAAAACTTCTTTGCCAATTCATCTCCTCTTGTACATACAATGAATGGAGGATGTTAAAGTGTTGTTGACCTATTAAATGTTTGACTGATGTATTTACAGCATATCTGATATTCCCCCAATAGCCAGTGCAATGAAGTGTTAATTTCCCAGGAAAATGCACACACACACACCAATATTAGACTATTTCTCCTGGGTGATTCTTGTATACATTTTCTGGAAAATTTTTCCCTTGGTGTTCTGATGGTAGCAATGGTTGAAGTGTCATGGCAGGTGCCGTTACTGTCACAGCAGAATTTGATGGTAGCACTACAAGAACCTGTGAATGAATCAAAATGTCATTGAGTCACTGAGTATAGTCAGTGCTTCCATTTCTATACCCTATAGTGTCACTTTTACTAGTGTCTACACTATGGCTACTAAGCTGATCAAACATCACACTAAGTAGTATGTGGGCCACTTCTTGGACCATCAGGTGTTGCAGACCTAGGACACTCTTTCTGTGGCAGCTGAATAGCTGGTGTTCTCAGCTGCATCTTACAGCATCAGTCTTCTGTGTGAATGGCTTATTTGAACCAATGTGTCACAGAGAATGACAGTGGCATCTTCCAAATTAGTTTACTCCTGTGACAACTGCACATCCAGGCATAGTGTCCTTGAAGTTCTGCACACATGGCAGTGGCCCAGCATGGCAGAAGCATCATGAAACATGGAAATGTATTCTGACCTTTAAAATCAAGGGACATGGGACAACAGTAGAATGAAGATGATTTACATACTTAAGCAAAACATGTGCCTAGGTCACTGCTTTTGTGGGTTAACACACTAGAGGACAGTAGGAACAGCATTCTTCAGCTCTAGGGAGCAGTTGCTGGATTACACTAGCTTCTTATACAAGCTTTGAAGTAGCTTTTCCGGAATACTGTATTCATGGTCTACTTCCTGGCTGTTTTTCTCCTCCTATGTATGTGACTTTCTTCTCCCTATGTGACCTTCTTCTTCCTTCTTGTTCTACAGAAGCCCTTGGGTTAAGAAAATGGCCAGGTGTGAACAAACTGAAAGTTTCTGAGAAACAATAGCCCAACCAACTCTATGAATGCAGTTTAGACAGGAGAATAGGGACTAGAAAAGATTAAAGTGGAGGGAATGAGACTAGATTTGATAAAAATGCATTATATTCAAGTAGGGCATATACAATGTGAAAGAACCCAGTACACAGAAGACTCTGAGCTCTTCTTCACCTAGGCTTCATCTAAGGAAGATAGCATGCTGGATGAGGTTGTGGGGCAGTTGGTCATCCAGATACAAATAATAGACTAAGTCTATAATGGTCCTATAAAAGGTGCTTCATTCTGTGGCTGGATGTCCTTCAAGTTCTTTCTACAGCTCACTAACCCCCTTCCAGTTTTTAGGGATGCTTTTCTTTCCTTGATAAACTGTCTCTATTTCTAAAATGAGTCCCTGGTTCAGAACATTGCTCTGGATCTGGAAATGGGTAACCTATGAACTCAGAGGGGTGCCTTAGCACTCCTAAATCGGTTTTCCCAGACTTTCTGGGCTTTTGAGGTCTTTCCATCTTCCCTCTGCCTAGAGGATAAAGGGATTTTCAGCTTGTCTGTCCCATTTTGCTTTGTTTGTTTGGATTTCCCTCCTTCAAACTGTCCTAAAAGTGTCCTTGAGTTTCCTTTTGAGTCTGGCTTTAAACTCTATTATTAATGAAACTAGGAAACCCAGAGGGAACCTGTTTTCCTGCTCACATGGCCTCTTAAGACTGATCAGGGGACAAGACTAAGCTGTTGATGGTTTTGATTGAGCAACTTAAGATAAAAAGATGTGTCCTTGTAAGTTGGTAGATTTGTGTGACTGATTACAGAGCAATAGATACTTACTAAGCATCACCCAACAAGGACTGCTACTCACCTCACTGGAGTTACAGCAGGAAGCTTTACATCCAAATGCAGAGATGGACACAGCAATGCAGAATTCTAGCATATTTAAGATTAACATCAAAGCATCCAAACCCTAAAAACAGATTCATACCAAAGAATGTGAAGAGTAGAGATTACATGTTTGAACTATGCCTTCCTCCCCCTAACTACCATGCCAATGAAGGAAGGCTCTGTCCATGGGTTTTGAAATACAGCTTTTGATACAGTCCAAACCCTAGACAATTTCTTGGTCTCCTGAATGTCACTAATTTATCAGAGACCCCTAACTCCAAGACTGATGTGCTCTGTGCTAGACAATTCACATGGAGAAAACAATAATATCATTTCATATTTGAAGAGGATAGTCTTTCTGGATAGTCCCAGCCCAAGGATAGGGTTAGCCTGGTTTACAGTGAGAACAGAGGTTTTTTATTAGATAATATAGGCAGAATATCCTAGCCTGTGCAGGCTGTCCAAGTTATTATGACATCTTTACATCTAGAAGTAAGATCCTGAAGAATTCTAGTCTAAGAGACTCAAGATGCTTCAGTGTTTGTCTAGAAAATAGAGGACAGAATGATGAGCCAAGAAATGTGGACAGAAGATAGGAACACAAAAGCCGAGAAAGTTACTTTTTCCTGATGCTCACAAGGAAGACAACAGCCCTGTCAACAGTTGATTTTATGTAATCAAGACTCATTTTGAACTTCTGTCACCTTGTAATAAAATATATCTGGATTACACACTACTTTGGTAGTGATTATCACAACTATGGTAAATCATTGGAAAGTTGTGCACCACACCTTTTAGTATTCACAGTATGTGGCTTTGTCTATATCTTCACCAAGCCAAAGGATGAAAATGGAAGAAAAAAGGTGGCACACTTATGCTGAATTCACCTGCCTTGAACTGGTGACTCAAATTGGCAGCTTTGAATATTCTCAGTGATCAGAGATGGCCTCTCTCATGTGATTTAGTCCATTGATCAGGAGCTTGGCACATGTGAGATACTGATACAGTGGACTGTGAGAATATTTGTATTGGTTGTTTTCATCTTTGCTCCTGCTTCAACAGATCCTGCTTACCCTCTGGGTTCAGGCCTTGTGGTAGGCACGAGTGGAGAACAGCAAGTAGGAGAGATAGCAATTTCACATAACATATAATTTAATTTACATAAACAAGTACAGGCTGGGCATGGTAGCTCACAACTATAATCTCAACATTGAGAAGACAGGCTGGATTTTAACCCAGGTATAACCTGGGTTACGTAACAAGACTTCAATCTCTAGCAATATCAATCACACCCATTGAAAACATCAACAAAGACAAAACAAAACAAAGGTAGATTTCACCATAAGTAGCAGATGTATATGTTTATAATACACTATTATAAGCTATAGGAATTATCATATTTCTTGATCATTTTGGCTGACCATTGGCAATTTCTTGTGGCTTGCTCTGGTCATTTGAGTTAGCATACACTCTATCTGCTCTTTCTTACAAAGAGCTTATACCTTTAAACCAAATTTACAAAGATTATAAGTTATACAATCTATCTTTTTATCCCAAGAGGGTTGACATCTCCCACCATTAGGAACTTGATTTTATTTTGGATTTTTCTGGGGCACCAACTGAAGATCAGACATGACATATCCCTACGGTGGAGAACTAGCCATGTTAGTGATTTTCTTTCTACTCAGTTGCAGACAGAAGAGAAATAATGAGGTTTCACGTGATCCCTAAAATACTGTCCTACTTTTCTATGTTTTCAACATCACAAATTGATTTATTTTCCTATTCTCTTTTATTTTTTCCAGTAATTTATTTTTTATTTACTTTACATCCCAATCACAGCCCCTCCCTTCTCTTTTCCCAGTCCCTACCCTACAAACACTTCCCCTTATTTCCCCCTCCCTTTCTCCTTAGAAGAGGGGAGCCCACCTTAGGTACCACCCCAAATTTGATCTTATGATCAGAATGTTGACTGTTGCTTTTGTAAGAGTCAGTGAGCCCTTTCCTCCACCAACTGAGTGAATACTTACCCTGGTGACTCCAAAACTTCCACGAAATGCACCCACAACCAAACTGACAACACCCATTATACTTGCAGCTGCAGCCAACACAGAGCTGATAGTGTTCAAAGTTAGACTGCTGATGACCTAGAAAGGAGTGGGAATCAGTTATCAATGGCATCCTTTGTATGGCTCCATCAATATTTGAAGTACATCATTTCATCCTCTTCTTGCCAAAACTAGACTCTGTGTGTTTCCTTATAGTATCTTTACATCCAATCTTTTGCCAAAAAAAATAAAACATAGTAACTGTTATTTCTAAGACTAAATCTTTCAGATGACTCTCAAGAACACAAGATGCTCTTCAAATTTGCTAGTAAAATTTTCAAAGTCTTTGACACATTATCTGGAAAGCCTGTCTGTCTTTTTCCATCACACTGTGCTTAAAATACCTAACTGTTCTTCTGTAAATGCTGATGGCAATGTCTCTCTTGCATATTTCCTTCTATACTGTAGATATAGCTCTGAAATTCTCTTCTCATGGTTCAGTTAAATAAACTTCATTGTGTGAAGTAAAATTCAGCAAACTGGACGTTTGCTGCATCTAGAACATGAGCTGCATGTTAGTGGTCAGAATTGATGAAAGATGCTAAGAAGGCAGAAAGGATTTAGCCCAGGTTTAGGAAAGTCATCTTGATCTTGCTACACAAGTTGATGTTTACATGTTCCAGGAAGCAAAATTCAAATGCAGATTTTAGAGAATGAAATAAATTGGTGAACTCTTGGCTATTGACCTTATCAGCTTTATGATGGACATATCATTGTAACTGTCTTTTTTGTTGTTTGTTTTTTGTTTTTTGTTTCTTTAAAAGTTTTCTTCTGTTTATTTTTCTTACATTATGTCTTAAACTCTTCTATTATTTTTATTTTTGAAATTAAAATGCAATTACATCATTATCCCCCTCTAAGTACATAGATACAATCTTCTCAGTTCATATAATTTTACATCTGTGTATATGATTGCATGGCTGACCACTTGGTATTGTAGAACCAGCTGGGGGAAGAAGCTCTTCCCTGTTTCTCCTGTCTCCAGCACTCCTTAGTTCCTGAGTTCTCTGTGCAGGGTTGAGGCCCCAGGAGACTTCCCCTTCCATGTTAGCATGCTACTGCTGTCATCCTTTTTCAGGTCTTGTTTAGGCAGCCATGTTGATAATACTTCATGGACAGTTTCTCTCGGGTTTCTTGGAGATAGAGTCTCACAGCAAACTTGTTTCTCTGGTTCTTATATCATCTCTGTCATGTCCCATGCCCTCCCACTGTGATCCCTGAGGCTCAGGCATCTTAGGTGAGCTGGTTGGGACTGGGCACCTACCATGCAGTCACCTGTCCTCTTTGTACAGCAGTGGGGTTCTGTAATGGTCAAAGAGACTTCCTCTGATGAGGGCTGGTCCTCCAACACCCTTATTGAACCATGAATCCTTTAAGACTGGAATGGACTCCCATGTGTTTGCTGTACTCTATCCTTCTTCCTCCCATTCTCTGAGCCTTCATTCTTCCAGAACACTGTGCTAATCTGAGTCTCAATTCCTTATCTCCTTAGGCCAGTTTCCAAATGATGATAATACCTAAAGCTCACTTTTAAAATATTTAGGTAATATTTAGGTAGTACTTAAAGCTCACTTTTATTTACTTTCAATAACAAACTGCTTTTCTCAAACTAAGCCTTTCAAATCCTTTACAACAGAAACTTACTACTTATTGTAGAAACTAATTTTTAAAGTATGCACATATATCTATTATTGAAATTGCTGGAAAATTTTAAAGTATAAAATGTTAGGCAGAATAGGATTTTAGGGTTAGTTAATGAAACTGCCATATTTTTTCTAAGAAGAAAGTAGAGCCCAGGAAGGTCTAAAGTCATAAGCTGGCAGAACAGAGGCATACTGGGAACGTTAATCCTTAGTTACCAGTTTCCTAATCACTGAGGAGAAACGGAATATTGGCCATCTCACATGAGCGGTCACACAAATTCACTTTCTATTCTACACTTACACTCCAGCTGAAGTATTCTTGTAGGCAGAAAGATCTCCAGCTTAGTATCCTGAGAAGACAGACCATTATGACACAAATATGCCTTCAGATGCTCCAAAGTTTCGGCCGTTACTGGATTTAGTCTTGCCTGTCTCCACCCCTTCACTTTTGCAGGGTTAATCACAAGGCTGTCTCCTTTGATAGAAAAGATGCTCCTCAGATCTGCAAGTGAATACTGACTGCTGGGCTCTTGAAGTCTTGGAACTTGTAAATGTATAAACTGAAAGTAGATCTGAATAAATCCTGTAAATGTCTTTTTAAGCCATTCATTATTTTATGTTTACAAATGACTTATCTGACTATATGTACATGCAGTTTGGGCATGGCCCTGGTATCCACATATGCCAGACGAGGGCTGGAGATCCCATGGAATTTTAGTTATGTATGTATGTCTGTGAGCCACCATATGGGTGTATAGAAAAAAATCTGGGTCCTCTGTAAGAACAAGTGCTCTCAACCTCTGACTATCTGGACTCTGTAAAAAAATTTTATACTATTATTTTGGATGCAACTATAGATGGTATTTTAATATGTTGGTCAATTTTTTTTTATTTTTACCATTGCAAATATTTGAGTGTCAGTATCATGGGCTGGATCTGAAGCTTCAAGGCACATCTGTGTAAACTCCACCCGACATTTTTTCCCCTAATTCACTGCAACACCACCAAGATTCTCCCAGAAACTGCCTTGACATCTTATCCAGTCAGACATGATGAGACTTATTAGGAACCAGTAGCTCAGCTACAGATGTAAAAGTCAGGTCTTTCTAAAACTCATAGCTATGTCTTTAGGAAGATAGAATTAATTCCTTTACATATTGGAAGAATGCATACTTGATGAAATTTTTCCCTTTTGATAGCAAAACAAGCCAAAATACATACCAGGCTCTTTGTAGTATTCACTCCTGCTGCAATTGACAGGGATCCTGAGATAATGAACTGGTCATGAGGAGAAATGTCCAGGTTAAAAATCTTCATAAACAGTTGGTATAAGGCGTAGCATACTACTCTTTACTTCTAAATCAGTTGTGTCTAATAAAGTGGTCGACTGTCTGAAAAGCAGCTGTTTTCTATGTCACCACCTTCCCCATCCCCACAAGAGCAGAGAGGAAAAGTAAAATGAGTTATAGAAGAACCATCAAGGTTATTTTAATAGAGTATTTCATTTGTTTATTTTGGATGTTTGCGGTAAGGTCTTGTTATGTAGTTCTGGTTAGCGAGCGACGTGCTATGTAAACCATGCCAGGCTTATACTTGGAGTGACTCTCCTGTTTATGCTTCCTGAGTGAAAGGATTAGAGGCAGGAGCCATCAAGTGTGTCTCAAATTTTTAATACTATTTTCCCTAGGCTTCCAGTATAGGGGAAAAAGCCGTGATCCCTTTTTGTTGTTCTTTCCCCCTTTGAAGTTCTATGATTAGAATAATCATCTTTCTAATTATGCTGACAAAGATGTCTGCAATTTCTTACTCTGGAGACATTTATTTAACATTTAGATCATTTTGAAATTATATTTCGCAGATTTGAAAAGAAACAGGACTTTTTAAATTTTAAATTATCAGATCCTTTCACATACTTCTTATTAAGGTTTTTGAAAACGTATTCAACTTTCATCTTATCAAAAATTTTAAGAGCAATGAAGACTAAAACTCTCCAATCATTATAACAAGATTTTGCCAACATGACTTCAAACTAAAGAAGTTAGCACAACAAAAACAGAAAAGAAATTATCCTTGTTGGAAATGCATATTGGAAGCTGTAAATAAAATGACAACAAATTAAATTATATAATAAATGATGACTAGATTATGTAGCTCATTTGAGTCTGCCAATTTGGTCATTATTTTCAATTTAAATGAAATGACTGCTGTTAATTTGATTGAATTGAACTCTTTAGACTATCAACCAAATATATGGATGTCTGGATTTGCTTTCCAAATTTTACTTTAGGAGATTTAAAAGGTAATGGGAGTGTCAGTAGGACCACATCATTCAAACTAAGATTAACATATAGATGAGAGGCTGGAAAGTTGGATATCAGTCCATTGCTCCCCGTGCAGGCCTGAGATCTTGAAGTGGCTACTCCATCATGAACTATCAGAGTTGTTTTCCAAGATTGTCATGAGTAGGAATTAAAGACTGAAGCAGACATCCACAGTAAGGAGATAAATAAGATTCTGAGTTCTTGTTCATGGACTGAATACATCATGAGAAAATTAAGCCTCCTTAGTCTCATTTTATTTCTTATTTATACAGTTAAGGTAAAGACAAATTTCTCAGAAGTTGTAGTGATTGGTTGAGGTGGAACATTACATGCAAAAATATTTATTAATGTGCCCAGATTATAGTGCAATGTAAGCTATTAGTGGTATTATTGGGGGGGATTATCATCATCATTATTATTACTACTTGTATTAATATACAAAATGTCATGCAACTTTGAAAAATATGAGAGTTTATGGCATTCTTCAAGTCCTAAACACTTGTAAAATAATAAAGGAAAATTAAAGTACCAAGTCTACCAAATAACTAAATTTTCTCATTCTCCAGATCATCAACAAATGGAAACCTTGCAACACTTGAATAAGACTCTAAGCGATAAAATAACAAATAACCAAGTTTATGCATTTTGTTTTCTGTTTGTCAGTTCATAATATATAGGTGAGTAAATGTTTGATTTTTACACTTAATTGACACTTTGAACTAAAAAAGAATTATCTGGTGTTTATTTATAGAGGAAAGTTTTTTAGCTTTCAGAAATTCTTTTTCAAATTTTTGATTAGTTATTTTATTTACAATTGAAACAAAATTTATCTACAGTTTTCCCATTCTCTTAAGCATTTATTGAGATCTGATTGGCCAGATGCTGTTAATCACCTGCTCAGCTTCGTCCCCTCTTCTTTACCAACAATACCCTTGTTTCCTTCATTCTTTCATGGGCTTCAGAGTTTTGTGACCCCTTCCTAGCTAGAGAAGCAGATCTCAATTTCCCCAAGTTAATGGTAGAAAGACAGTTATCTTTGGTTTGAGAATATACTTGTAAAAATTTTATGACTAGTGAAACAAATAGGTCAGCAAGTCATATCGCTCTTTCTAATCAACCCTAAGATTGACTAGCCAGGAGCTCCTTAGAAAATCAGTTGTGTCAATATTTAAATAACTTTTTTGGGAGTACAAGACTACATGCTGTCACAATACATCTTAAGTGACATATTAAATAAATGGTTCACCTATCTTATATGAATGGCAGGTGGATATTGCAAAGTGAACAAGGAAGTACTGAATAAGGTTTAAATATGCTGTTCTCAAATGTATAGACTACTTGAACGAGTTGAGAGAAGATTTCACTCGAAGTTAGTATAGTAACAACAGAGTGTTATTTATCTCCAGTTATAAGAGACTGTATGTTACTCACCATTATTGGTCCCCAAATTGGGGCCATTAAGATCACTGAAATATGTGCTTCATTAAATATATTTGTCATTATTATTATTCCTAAGCTGAGGTTTATGAGAGCAATCATAACTTGTACAACCTAGAAACAAAAAATTAAAAGCATTATCCACCAGAAAAATGGTGCTCATGATAAGTACTTCCACATCACTAAGTTACCTCCTTTCATAATTCACAGATAAATATAAAATATTATTCTTTTCTCAATTGTTGTCATATACAGATGGAATGTACTAACTTATAAATCATTTCTTGGACTCTCTCTCTCTCTCTCTCTCTCTCTCTGTCTCTCTCTCTCACACACACACACACAAACACACACACACACACACACACACACACTTCAGTAATTTCAAACTTAAAGGAAATTTGTGAAGTTCTTTCCATAGATACTTTTATGGTGCCCATGATGCATCTCTGCCTCTGTTTTTATCCTTTGTCATACGCTCACATAAGAATAGTGAATTAGGAAGAAATTATACCTTCAAGAAACAATTTGAGGAAATAAAGCTAAATGCAGAATGAGGGAAATATGAAGAGCACAGGTGATCTTTAGGAGCTAGTAATGTGAGGAAGGAATGTGAGTACGCTGACCCACAATGGGGAATTTGGGTATAACTGCGTCCATAATAAAGACTCAAAGGAAATAAAAACAACATGTGAAGATGTGTGAGAGGAAAAAAGAGCAGTGTTAGAGGAGAATGAATGGGACTATATGGAAAGATTGGAAAAGAAACGTATTTATTATCATACATTGTGTCTATATACCATTAATAGTTAAAGAAAAAGAAATCACAAATTGAAATGGAGGAAACAGCTTGGGAGGGTTGGTGGAAGGAAATGGAAGATGGAAAGTGTGTAATCCTATTTTAATTAATTTTGTAAAATGGAAAAGGACAGATGTAAAATGAGTTACTCCATTGCACAAAGCACTAAGCTCAGAGTGCTCATCCTTGGAAGTATATATACCATTAGCTCCCCTTTAATTTTACTGTAAATGTAAAATTTCTCTCAATTTTAAAAAATTATTGATAATTTTAAGATAACCATATTCTATGTTAACATAAAACATATAGTACGAAAAATGATTTTATAAGAGTTAGAACAGTGAGGTAGAAATGAAATGGGTGTCTGTCAGATGGCAACTGCCCGGTGATTAGAAGCTTGGTCCAGTGAGCTCCTTCTTCATTTGCTGACCTTTAATTTGCCTAGGATGTTATTTCTTGAAGTTCTCTATTATTTTTTTAGACACATTCTTCTGGAGATAGAAGTATGTGGAGAATGGAGGATTTCTCATCATCTGAGTAGCAGGCAAAAGAAAGGCATAGCAATTGTGTGGAACAGTATGGGTTTGTCCGTCAGAGGGCCAGGCTACAGCTGTAGCTTTATAGCTTTTTCTCTACACTGAATTAGATATGATCATCTTAGAAGATCCGCAGCCTAGAACATACCTGCAGTCTCTATATTTTAAATAGATTAAACTGAAAGTCTGATGTAATAGACTAACATGTCAATTTTTAAATGATAAATATGAAAATTAAATGCTTTTGCCCTTGGGATGTATTGATGTGACATGAGAGGGTATGACATGTCTGGTTTTTTAATCGTTTATATATTTACAAAATCATTCTCCCCTGAGATTCAAAGATGTCTTACTCCGAGGACTTTGGGTTCCCCCTTCAAGAATTTCTCTTTGCTCTCATTCCACATTTGTGATTTCGTAGCAGACTTCTCAGAGGGCTGATCACCTCCAGGAACCACTGCCACGGTGGTCTGTGCTAGTCCTTGCATAGTTTCCAGGGCAGCAGAAACAGTACTGAAATAAGAATGAAAGTTTGGATGAACTTCTGGAAATGATTCAATGCCAGGTTTTCTCTTAAGGATAAATTTCAAATAAAATCTTCCCATGTTATAATAATTAATAGTAATAATAATAATAATAATGATAATAATAATAGCAGCTTAAATAAGATAGAAAAACAGTTGTTTTAATCTCTTGGTAAGAGAAGATCTTCCAATTCTATTTCCAATTTATTTTAAATGCCCATGCTTTTTCTTTATATACCCACAAATACTTTGGACTTCACTTGTCAAGTTAGTAGTTGGAGCATTTGTGGATGTTGACTTCATCTTCCAGAGTTACACCCCACTTCATCATCTCATCTGGTCCCACAACAAAGAAACCCATCGCATCTGTGCAATCTCCTCACAGAGTCTCTGGCTTCTAGTAGACACAACTCTCCTCTTCCTGTAAACTACTCAACCAACCTGCAGTGCAAGGAGAACTTAAGCAGTTTCTGGTACTTCCCTCTAGTGAGAATTATGGTTTCTTAAAAAACCCAGGTAGTTAGGATATGTGAATATGTTTTTGTCTTAATCCCACATGTGGGATATGGGGCTGCTTCAGATGTCCACAGCTGCTAACTAGGATGGTCTAGTGTTGTAGAAAGGGTGTGATTTTTTCCAATTGCAAATGTTTGGAATTCAGGGGACTCATGAGAGAGTATAAATGTGAGAATCCAGAACCCTGAGCAACCTATAGTGGCTGCTGTTCCCCCAACCTCACGCTACCTCAGCTCACCCATCTGCTGGTCACATACTACTGCTCATTCCTGCTGTTGTTTGTGCTGCTTTTGTTATTGCTGGATTGCTGTATTGCTAGATTGCTGGTTGCTGGTTGCTGGTTAGAGATATTCTGTTGATGGAGTTGGATTTGCTCAAGAAACTTGATGCCCCTAATCAGAAGGAAGTTGTATAAAGAAATGTCAACTCCCTTTCCCCTCTAAACTTCTTTCCTATCTAGTGTTGGGCGGTTGCAATGGATTAGGATGGAATTTGGGCAGAAAAGCATGTTAGATATAAGAACCCAATAAAGTAGCAAAAAAAACTATGCCTACACTTCCCTTTCATGTTCAAGAAGAAAAAGGTATTCTTATGAGAACCCAAGGTGGAGGGATTAGTCCAATTAAATGCACAACTTATTCATTTGTTGTAAAGAACCTCTGCCATGCTTCTCAGAAATACCTTCAGACCTCTGCAATGAGCTGAACTCATTGGTTGTTTATTCACTCCCCTCTTGGGACACATTTACTAACATGCAAGCATAAAGATGGGAATCTAAAGGGTGTGACTCTCTTTAGTCAAACCAAAAATAGAAACAAACAAGCCTAAATCTCAAAGTTTTTGGTAATTGATGATGACACAAAAATGAAGTCTGAGCAGAGAAAAGACTGTGCCTACGATCCAATAATCTGAAAGATGGAGAGATGGCTCGGTGTTTAAGAGTACTGGATTTTCTTCCAGAGGACCCAGGTTCAATTGCTAGCTACAATCTATAACTATAATACTAGGGCATAAATGCCTTTTCTGGTCTCTTTGAGCACCAAGCATGCATGTGGCATACAGACATACATGCAGACAAAACACCTATATACATGAAAGATCAAATAATCTGGAGTTTTCTCCTAGCTTTAAGGAAGATGGGAATTCCTGTTTACAAACATTCTTTGGATCACTTTGACTTCATCTGTGCAGGAGCTCATTGAGCACAATTGCTACCAAGCTTCTTTCTGATCTTCACACTGCTAAGAGTCTTCTCAGTGTCTTCCATTTGATGAACATCCATATTCGAGGCTTCAGCTCTTAACCTTTGAGTCCTAGTTCATATCACAGTCCATCCCAAGCGCAGACTAATCATGTCAAGTTGTGTTCAGCCTCCATCATTTGAATTTCCCCCAAACTCTGCATGGAGTAGATACTGTCTTAAATCATGGAATAATATGTAGGTGACAGAGATTAATATAATGGAAGTTTATTAAGAGTATGTGAGGTGATCAATCAATAAATTAAATATCAATTTCAGGTTTTTGATACCCTGAATATAAAAAAATTAAAACGACTTCATACAGTGCTCAATTGAGGTCTTGTTAAAGCCTTTAACTTTTCTTTTACTTTCTGTTTAATAATGTTATTTTATTCATTTATTTGTTATTTTAAATTTTTTATTATTTAAATTTTTTATTTAAAAATTTATTTTTGAGAATATTATACTTGTGTTTACATCATTTCTATCCCACCCTATCTTCTCTCCAACTTTTCTCATGATTTCCTACTTCCTGTATATTCATGACCTCTTTCCCTTTAATTACTATTGTTAAATATGCATATGATTTAACATGCATACACAATGTTGGGTCCATTTAATGTTACCTGTATGTACATGTGTTTAGGGATGACTACTTAGGATTAGATAACCCAATCAGAGAGCTCCTTGCTGGAGAAGACTGTTTCTCCCTCTCTCAGGAGCCAGTAATTGCCTATATTTTCATCTAAGGGTGAACACGCAAGATATTCTCAAGGGTACAACAGTGGCAGTTATTATCTTGAGGAGAGCCGAGAGATGTCTAAATGGCCTAAAAGACACAACAGGAGAAAATCCATGTCTGGTACTGTAAACCTAGCCATCTACCTGACTGGTGAGGTCATAGTCCCTGGAGGAGAAATTATTTCTGCCACTTTAACAAGCCTTTATCTTTTCCTTGTTCTTATTCTTTGCAACAAAAACTGCCTCCCAAGGTATAGTTAAAAAGTCAAAAGCCTAGTGTATGTAATAAAAGGTGATCTCATTTTTCTCATTTTCACCTAGACATTCCATATTTATCCAGTAAATTAAAAGTCATCATGCTGAAGCCTAGGAAGCCAAATTCCTACACTTACCTACTTCCACAATGCCTGTCCTCTGTGTCTGTGGAGGGCCAAGCTCTGGGAAGGTCCCACAGAGTCTTTGTTCAGAGCCAATGGCCACCCCACACTTGGCACCCCACTTGGCTTCAATTTGAATAATTCTTCTAGCACCTTTCTAAATCATAAAGGCTGTGTGTGATATGAATCTCTGAAAAAAACCCACTTCCTACATTTTCTTTTTTTTTTTTTTTATTG